TTAATCAAAAAAAAAAAAAAAAAAAAATGTGTGGCGCTTGCAGGTGGGAAGTTGTGGGACCACAGAGCGGGGTTCAATATGGGCCATTCCCAGTGCCTATCCACGGGCTACCGGCCAGATTTGTCAAACAAACAACAACCAACCAATAGCCTTTCATTTCATGTTCAAAAAAATAAAAATAAAATAATAAAATAATTTCTCTTTCTATATACTGTTATTTTAAAATCATCCAAATATATATTATATTTACATTTATAAAATTAATGCCCTCCTCACCGGGGATTTTCATCATTAATGTTCCTATCGATTTTATTTTTACGTTTAAAAATGACGTGGATCGCTGTCTGTGGGCGCGGGCTCCACCGATTGTGGTCCTGGAAGCGCCACGTGGTAGTGCGCCATTTGTTATAAAATTTGCAAGTAGATTTTTGTGTGTATGGTGCCGTTAGGCTTATTTGTTATTTGAATTAAGACTTATTTTCTTTTATGATTTGGGTTTATTTTGTAAGGGTAGATTAGTCTTTTATTTATAATTTTTTTAGTATAAATAGATTATTTTATATATATTGAAAAAAATAACTTTTTATATATATATATATATATACTACTACTGAAGTGAGCTGCAAAAGCTATTGAGATGATCCAAAATGCAATCAAATATCGCTCGTTCTTATATATCATTCATAACTCTTTGCATGTGTATTTCCCTCACTTCTCATCATAATTGTCAATTGCCACTTTCCTATCGAAAAGGTTAGTTGCTCCTCTCTAGCAACACTAATCACCCCTCTTCCACCAAATACGCCCCCATTTGAAGGTGAAAACGTGGTCTTGTTAAATGGGATCTTGCGTATGCATATAGTGGTGGCATCGTCGATGGTAATGACGTCGATGTTGTCGAGCTTCAAGTAAATGAGTGGACTATGTTGGTTTTTTACATAGAGGCGCCATGTCGTAGTGGGAGAAGGCTCAGAAGGAGGTTTCTAACAATGGGCCACGACATTGATTCTACATCTAATAATTTTAATTTTGATAACAAAATCCACGTTCGAGATTTGTTGAATCTTGATTAATTGTTCCTTGAAAATCCCCTTTAAGATCATATTCTAGTTCTTTGAATTGGTCCCTCAAAACCCATTTAGATTGACTTTGGGTCTAATTTTCTAAAGCAAACAAGCCAACAATTATATCATTTTTGTCGATCAATCTCTCTACGAACCACCTTGACCCATGTCAAGTCAAGTCAATTTTAGACACTACATAACTCGAACCAAATCAAGTCTATTCGTTTTTGCAGAAACACCAATCTGATCAAACACAACCTGTTTTCACCTCTAGTCTGTGTAGACATGTATGAATATAATAACTATATTTAAAACGTCAACAAGAATTAAAATATTAATAATTTGTTTTGGATAATAACATCATCACTAAACTAAAAATGCTATGTTTTTGTTCCAAATTTTGATGAAGTAATTGATCGAATTGGTTAATACCCATGGAAAGACCTACTTAAAACGAGCCAATGGGCATGTGTATTGAATACGTCAATCGGTGACATAACGCTAGCCGATCGATTATGCCGACAACTAATAGTATTTAGCCTAACTTAGATGTACATTAATACATGCATATTAATGCGCGAAGTTTGACATATTGTAATGAGTTGAGTAATGTGACAAAGCTTGGTCCCATGCCTTATTGGACCTCTTAAGCTTGTCTTCTCATTGCTTTGAGTATCATGGTTTGGTTGACTTCTAGTGGGCTCTCGCCTCAAGTGGGCTTGTCCCTGTTGAGTCAACTTTGAGGTCTTATATATGAGATCCCATATGGATTGAGAGGAGAACGAAACATTCTTTATATGAGTGTGAAAATCTCTCCCTATCAGACGTGTTTTAAAACCTCGAAGGGAAACCCATAAAGGAAAACTCAGAGAATACAGTATTTACTAGTGGTGGGTTTAGGCTGTTACAAACGGTATCAAAGCCAGAGCAGCGAGGTTGAACCGTGAAGAGGGGTGGACACAGGACGTTGTGCCCATATCCCATATTTGTTGAGAAGAAGAACGAAATATTCTTTGGCAAGGCTGAACCTAGAAGGGGAGTAGACACCAAGCAGTGTGCCAACGAGAACACTGTGCCCATATCCCACATTGGTCGAGAAGGAGGACAAAACATTATTTATAAAGGTGTGAAAAAAATATTTATAAGAGTGTAAAAATCTCTCCGTAACAGACCCATTTTTAAAAAGTGACGATATTTTACTTGGAGCAATTTTTATGTTCGATACATTTTAAGTATTTTCTTAGAATACATGTAAGTGACGACAAAAAATGCTCGAACGACTTGGTCTATGGACATAGTCTTCACTCTCAGAAACAAAAAGTAAGTAACGTAACTATGTTGCAGATAGTGCTGAATTCAAATTTCGAATCTCGACATAGGTCGTTGGACCAACATCCATAAATATTATTTTTTTAACCGTTTGAAAGAAGACCCTCCCCCGCCCTCCCCCATTGGCCATTATCTCCTAGATCCAATAAATATTAATTCTTTATTTTTCAGACGGGAAGGCTAGATTCAAAGCACCACCACATTGCCGCCTCTATGAGCTGATGTCGCCGCCAAACTGGCCGTCGCAGTGGCGGCCAAATCATTCTGCAACAAAACGCCACCGCCCACCGGCCACTTGTAAAGATTAGGAGGAAAATAATAAAAATTATATTATATCAGTTTTTCTTTTTAAATTTCAATTTCATAAAATTCGATAAAAAAAAAAAAGAATTAAAATTTATTTAATAGATAATTATTTGAAAATTTATGACAAAAGTTAATAAATTGGAGTTTTCTCAAATTTGAATGGACGCGCATTCACACTTCATTAAACTTGGAATATCTGAGCAGTTGCCACGTGGCATTCCATAATTTATAATAGCGGCTAAAAGCTGCAATCTTCCTAGCCGTTTTATTCCTCGAACAAATCTCAAATTCGCTCTTAACCCGAGCCGAGCCGAGCCGACTGGAGCCGCTGAAAAAATGAGCTTATTCGCTTATCATTCCGAGGAAAAATAATATATATATATATATATATATATATAATTAAAAAAAAAAAGAAAAAAACGAAGAGATCTCAACCTCCACTTCCTGCTTATTCTCTTCCTCCTTCCATCATTGAATTTTCTCAAGCTTTTCACTCACTCCTCCAATCACCTCTCTGCAAAAGTTAGGGCAAAATTAGATCTCTAAGGAGGAAGCTTGTTCTACGCTCACCTCCGCTGGTTTCGGTGTTTTCATTCGAAGTTGTTTCAGCAAACTTTTCTTGTTTTTTTGTTGTTCTTTGTTTTTCATGCGTCTCCTTTAAATTATACCTGCAATGGACTCGATATGGAGCCACAGGAGCGCGCCAGAGGCTTTACATTTTGTCATCGCCATCCAGTTCGCCTTTAGCTTCTTTGCCGCGAGGTTCTTACTCGACAGATTCATTTTTCGTGTGAGTTTTCGAATTACATTTGTTTTCTGTTTTTTTTCTTATTTTACACTTCTATAATGCAATTTTGTTTCGGCTTGCTTTTGTTTATGCCGTGCTTTGTTTTATCAGTTAGTTTGCGAATGATTTTGATGTGGATTCCGATCGTTCATTAGTGGATAGATATATGCATTCACGTCGCTATGTATAAATATATATTTATTAGTCGGTTTTCACCTGGATGAATTGTTTAATGCGATGGTAGATAATAACTGAAGGCGAGATGGAAAGCTTTAAATGTCTCTGGCTGTGCTACTTGCTTTGCTTTTTATATTTCCTTTATATGTGATACACAAAGAACGTCGTACTCTAATCTTTTATCTCGGGAGAAGATAAGAAGAGCTTGGCTATGTTATTCTGGGTGAATTTCAAATGCTAGTTCTTTACTGAACTGAATTGGTGGTGTTTTCTACATTTACTCAGTTTGGTCGTCTTAATATAGAGCATCTGGTGGCAGTGCTTCGGTGACTTGACCAGACAAATATTCAGTTGATAAGTATCAGGATTTTTTTTCTCAATAAACTTCAATGAAGACGCCTTGGAAAAAAGAATTTTCAATGAAGACAAGTGAATGTTTAACATATTTACGAAGCAAGGAGTTCAGTTGGTCATTGTGATGAAATTTTAGAAATACCACCTTTGTCTTGCTAGCTAAATTTCAGACGACAGCCAATTCCAACAGCAAAAATGGATGCAAGAGAAAAGGATTCTTGACTGGCTTTTATTTAGAGGAATGGAAGAGCAGAAATAGAGGCGTCAGAAAAGTAGGTAGAGGGAAACATTGAAGAGGTTAGACAACAAACCTCCTCCCACCTATGCCATTTGTGCTCAAAACATCATCCAAATACTTTTAAGCTAGTGGAGTTGAATAGGATTTCCTGCCATGACTCAACTCATTAGAGCTACAATCTAGCCCAAGTGTTGGTTGAAAAGGGCACACCAGATAAATTATTCCAACCCTTGGTAGCCTCCTTACAATGATTACAATTATGATAAAAGAAATATGGTAGAGGTTGAAAGGATGAATGAATTTACGAGGAAGAGGTTAAATTAGACCAACCGCTAAAGTTACCAAAAAAATGCAGAGCCCATACTCTACTGTCCCCAAGTTGATGATTGTGATTAGCCAATGACAGCATTATGTCCTTGGAGTGTCCCTTTTCTACTGAAAGAACGGAAAGCCCACACTCTATTATCTCCAAATTGATGAATGAGATGACAACATCTTTAATTGTCAATTGGCTTTATCAGAGTGAAGCTTCGTGCTTTGCACCCTACTGTCCGGATGCACTCAAATGATAAGAAGAACAAGTGGATTATAACTGTAATAGAGCTAAAGAAACAAGTCTAGTTTTCATTGAGTTATGTTTGGAAAAATGCAAACATATTTGGTTCACTTTTAAAATTCACATTGTTATCTGATTAACATTTTTGTTCAATGAAATGTGGAAAAACTTAGTTAAAAGTAAAAATATGACTGAAAAAACTGTTGCACACCATAGAGCTTCTCTCTGAAGATCCTTGGTAAAGCATTTTGGAACTACAGTTTTTTTCTTAGTCACTGCCAATTGGAGGAACTTTTTTGTATTCCTTGTCACCCTTTTTCTATTTGGTTCTTTTGCATTGTCAACAAGATTTCTCTGTAATTTATTAAGAAAGGGGAAGTAAAAATGTTGTTCTACGTGTTCCGTATTCAGAGGTTTGCCATTTGGCTGTTGAGCAAAGGAGCTGCTCCACTGAAACTTGATGAGGCTACCCAGTCAAAGATTGTAAAATGTTCGGAATCAATGTGGAAACTAGCATACTATGGAACTGTTGAAATATGCGTTCTAAAAATTGCATACAACCAACCATGGTTTAGAGATTCAAATCAATACTTCAAAGGCTGGCCAAATGCGGAGTTGCAGTGAGTGGTTTACATGCTTTGATGTTAATTTAAGTGGGTCGGTGTCTTCTGCTATCTAGATTACTTCTCCTGAATAATTTTTTTAGATTTCCTTTCCTTCTCTCATTTCTGCATTTGGGCTTTTTCCTCCACTCTTTTTCTTCCTTACTATGGCAACTTTAGTGGTAAGAAGTTGAAATTTTTACTTTTTAGGTATAATACATTCAAATGAAATAAAGCTTTTTAGTTGTATATGAACTGATCCCTTTCATCTCTTTTTGCAGACTTCCTCTAAAATTGTTGTATATGTGCCAATGTGGGTTCTACTTATATAGCATCGCTGCACTTCTTATATGGGAGACTCGGAGAAAGGATTTCTCCGTCATGATGTCTCATCATGTAATTACTGTTATCTTGATCGGATACTCATATATTACGAGGTATTCTTAAAGTTGTTATTATAGGAGTTCAACATAGTAGTGTTTACTAATAACTAGGAATATGTTGGTGGCCATTTCACAGATTGGGAAAATCATGCCAGTGTCTGTTTCCCATTTATGATTTTATGTGCCTAGTTATATTGTTGCTGGGCTTCATTTTTTTTTTTTCACTTGGGAGAGTTGACCACCTGTCTTAAGACCCTGTAACTTTTGATATAGAATAGATCAAGGATTCAAAGTTGTGTGTCGAAGGCTATATATAAGAATTATTGCATTATTTGTGGCCTATTCTCTCTCATCATCTTTCTCAACTTTATCTTCATATGACATGATACTGATCTGTTGTTTTGAGTACTTGTAGAAGCACCGTCTTTAATTTTCTGTGGAGTCAATTAAGTCTGTATATTTTTGGTTCTGCGTAGTACTTCATTTAATACTTTTACTTTGACATTTATCATTCTAGTACCTATTAATGAGGTGATGGAAACCTTCTGAATTGAAGTTTATCTTACGAAAATCCTGCATTACTATGGTTGTCCTTCTCATCCTAATTATGTGTTGAGTGCATATACTGTTATTGAAAGATTGAAATGTGCTTTTTGACATAGTTTGCAGAACAACATTCTTGTCGTGTATCATTAAATATGAAATTAGAGCATGATATGAGAACAAGGAGTGACTTTAAATCTCTTATTTTCTTGAAATTTTTTGTTTGGATCTTTATGGAGTTCTTTCGTTTTTCTTTAAAACTAGACCAAACAAGGGCTTTCACATTTTCACTCAAATTTTGATGAATGGATGCCCGTTCCCTTTTTCTGGACTTTTACTGTAGGACCTGATGGTAGTTAATGATAACCCATTAACAACAAGGATATAGATATCGACTACGACAATGGTATTTACTCATGAATGATAGAGGGAGTTATGCAAATATGAAAATAATTTGGAGTTTCCATATTAGAGTTAGTTTTTCTTTTTATTATTATTTTCTTAAAATTCTACTTGGATTGAATGAAATGCTAAAACTTCCTCATGACAAACAAAAGTCTTGAGATGTTATTATTTTTGGATAATGTACACACCTTATGGCCTCAATTTGGGGTTCCTCGAGCTTTTTTTTTTTTTTTTTTT